TCTTTAAGAAACTATCTATATCGTGCTTATGAATCGATAACGTAACTAATTTCAGGCATTCATATAGATTTTTGTTCCATAGGGAGCAATTCATTACTAAATAAAATATGAGTTGTATCGAGACATCACAGGACAATTGAATGCTTTATTAATTTCAGAGTAAACCGACTTAATTAGGTATTTTAATCTCTAACGAAGTTAGCTAGATGTAGCCAATAAATATGGTTAACCATTTTTATGCATATATTAGACAATTTTTGGTCTTGATATTCGACTTTTCCTAAAGTTTATTGTGTTTGAATGTAAAGTAAATTTAAGGAAATTACTTATAACTCAAACCTTTTTTAAACAGAACAATTTTGACTGGCTATAGTCACCTTAATAGAAAAAAGGATTGGAGTGGATTTTGCAGATTTTGGCGCTGCAAAGATTCAAGGCATCTCTAAGCGCGGAACACCCTTTTTCAATGCAGCTTATTGGAAGCACTTTTAAATGTTTTCTTTTTCGGTTACTTTTGAGAAAACAGTTATGCAACTGTTTTCTTCATCCATTCGACCAATTAGCATGCTTATCTGCGCATTATTTCTAGCTAAACCAATGAAATGCTTTCTGCTGAATTTGTACAACATCTGTCTCCATAGAGAAGGTTAGAACAATGTAATTATATGTTTATATATTAGTGTTATTTGTCTAATTTAGGGTGTGCAATAGACTCACCTCCACGTAGTGCGCCCTAAGCAACGTATACTCATACGGAAAAAAGTCTATAAACCAGCAGTTGACTTCCAACTTCAAACTACCAAGACCCCACTGTATCTCATATTCCACCACTTTCACAATACTCATCGTACCTTTTCTCTGCCTTTGTGTCTGTCTCTTTTGCATCCTTGTATCGCTTTCCTTTTCGACCTCTCGAATTTTCTCCACTTTGATGTCCCTCCTCCCTTTGCAGCCCGAAGTCAGCCAAAGAGCTAATGATAGTTATCATAATGCCTGCCATTTGAAATTATGACGAAGTTGTCTAATTTTATCAATACAAGTTATTTGTATATTCGCAGTTAGTCACTAGGTGCATACTCATTTCTACATAGTAGTTGATACTTGCAAGTTGGTGCAATGATAAGCCACGCATTCGGTGCATTGTGGTAGGAAATACTAAATTTGCTCAAAATCTCGAAAGCGAAATATTCAAGACTAAACTTACTATTTATTGAGGTAATTTAGGGCCTATTTATTTTGCTAGACCTATGTATGGCCTTAGAAGATGAACGCTTCGTCAATAGTTGCTGGAATACCTAATTCGACGTGACAGAATGTTGTTGTCCAGAAAACGTCATTCCATAACGTACTAAGGTTATGAAGGCGGACTGTCATGAAAATGACGTCAAATTGATATTTCTCTGTTGGAAATGTTGTTTCGTCAGCAAATTTATTTCGTCACCTGATTCCTTGTTCATTGAGAAGCTGTCAGTGGTCTTCATTACACTTAATTATTTATTGTGTTTAACGTCAAAAAAGCTGAATGCCTCTTATTTTCAATAAAAAATCAAATATCAACTGTTTGGCTATCATAATCTTCACTCGACTTGTTGTGTGATTCCCAAGATTAAATGTTGTATGTTCGTTTAAGTTGCTTAGGCTAATTTTATGAAACAGTTGACTTCTGGCTTCAAAATACCATGGCACGACTGCTTGTCATATTCGACCGCTTTCACAGTACTCATCTTACCTTTTTCTCTGCCATTGTGTCTGTCTGCCTCTTTTACATCTGTGAATCGCTCTTCTGTTCCCCNCCCCCCCCCCCCCCCCCCGACTTTCTGCTACTTTGATGAACCTTCCCTCTGTGAAGCCCGAAGTCAATTAAAGGGCTAATGATGGCTATCAAAACACCCGCCATTTGAAATAAATAAATAAATGAAACGGGAAAGACACTCTGTGGTCCAAATTAGATTATTTTACAAACACCCCAATCACACTGCAAATATAGAAGCTTTTTAATTTTCTTCAAATAAATGCGCACGGATAAAAATGTAATGACTAACGCCTGGGTTAATGCCAAATATTCCTCTACGCGAAGGTGTAATTAACTGAATGCCAAACCCTCCTTCCCTCTCACATTAACGGCCACCCAATTCACCCTGTTGGGTGCAATTCGAACTGGGTGTACTTTAAGCTGTGTCTTCCCTTCCATATTCATTTGACGGCATTAACCACATGATGAGCAGGCCTTTGTCAGCCAATTGTGCTCAAAGAAGTCGAAGAAATCTGCAATAAGTATTCCAGACGACTGACCTGATACAATTTTTATAAGCAAAGAACCACGTAGTTTCAATCTTCAACTTTACGCGTAAATATACAGTAAAAACAAGAATATAAAATAAAAAGCTAAATACCTCTTTGAAGATTTTTGAAGCAATTGTTTTCTACATTCTTCTTGTGGGGTGCGCAATACACTTGCCTCCACGCGGAGCAGTCTTGGCAACTCAAACGGCAAAAAAGTCTATTAACCGGAAGTTAACTTCTGACTTCAAATTTCCATCATCCCACGGTATGTCATATTCGACTAATTCCACAGTACTCGCATCACCTTTCATCCACCTTTGTGTCTCTCTTTTACATCTTTGAAACACTCTTCTGTTCCCCCTCCCCCTCGACATTTTTCATTTTGATGTTCCTCTCCCCCTGTGAAGCCTGAAGTCAACTAAAGGGCTAATGGTAACCATCAAAACGCCTGCCATCTGATATAATAATAATAATTCTTTTATTACCTCTTGTCGCCACCAATCATGACTTAGTCACCTTTTCCAATTCAACTCATTATCTTTCCATTTGGGATGGAGACTGTTTTATCCTAACTGGCAGTTGATTTCTGACTTCATACTACCATCACTCCACTGTATGTCATATTACATCACTTTCACAGTACTCATCTAACCTTTTTCTCTACCTCTGTGTCTGCCTGTCTTTCTCTTTTACATCTATGATTCCTTCTTCTGTTCCCCCTCACTCCACTTGTGTGTCATTGTTATTCCTCCCCTCTTTGAAGCCCGATATTAACTAAAGGAGTAATGTTAACAATCAAAACGCCTGCCATTTGGTATAAACATTCTCTGTGCCGCTATGAGTATGGTTCACATCTCTGAATTTAAGTACTTTATCGATTTTCCCCAAAACTCCCTGCTGAAAAGTAGCATGTTTTTTAAACCCCTTTATCATTCCCTAATTAAAATATCCAATCTCATAATTTTTTCTGTTTTTCACTTTTTTGTTCCGCACAAGAGATTCAACTTATTTTGCACCTCATAGGTTTGAGAAGGCCCTGAAATAGTTCTGAATTCGCTTATTTATTGCATTAATTTTCAATTTAAAACCAAGGAATAATTTTTAGACGAATGTTAAGGTTGAAGTGCATGTTTATTTGATCAATTACTGATAATAGCTAAAAAGGTCGTCCACATCACCACAGATTCGTTTATGTCCCGTTCGGCAAAGTGGACTGGTGTTCCACTCTTAAGGTCAAGCACTTTGTGTGTCGAAACTAATTATTTCTGACCTCACTTTCAATGACCCTCTCTTTCCATTTGCAAATTGTCGGTTCTTCAGTCACCTAACAACTCACCTATTGGATGCTTTTAATGTTCGAAAAAATGGCCCAAATTAACATTCCACTTTACTTTTCCCAACAGCTTGTACACTGTTAACTATCGGACACACTTTTGTCTGTTTGCTTGTGTGACTTCTAGGAGGGAGGGAGGGTGGGGGTGGAAGAATTGGCAACTCAGTGCTGCTGACATAGTATTTTCGCACACTTCAAAAGAACTTAGTTCAAAACGAATGAAATCTACAATGGGAAATTTTTGAATAGATGGACCAATATACACGCATGCGTGTGTGTTTTTATCCAATTTAAAAGATAATACCGATTAAAATATGCACATTTTTAAACAGCTCAAGAGTTCGGTTTGACTAAACTGGTAATGAGTTAAATTTAGTTGAATTCATAATAGCTAGTACCAACTTGGTGATCTTAGGCACTGAAAAGAGGAACGAGTGTTTTGGGTTGGCTCAGTAAACTATTTTCCTAAAATAATGCTTATGAAGTACGCGCCAAATTTAAAATCTGAAACTCTAAACGTTAGATTAATAACCCTTAAGCGAAAAATATATGGCTTAAAAATTGAAAATTCAGCATAGATTCGTCCACAAACTGGTTTATTTTACCCTATCATGAACTTCTAACCTTTCAATTTTTTTAAATTTGGTTAATAATAAGTATTATTGGTGACCTCTGGAATTTTGTTTTAATATTATTATCGAACCTAAAAAATCTGAAATGTTTTCCGAGATGGTAAGGGAAAATCAATAGGGTGCAAAATTTGAAGAAATAGATACATGAGTATAAATGGAAATATTTCTTTTCTTTTCACTTTTCTTTGCAATGAAACAAAAGATTGTTTTCATTTGCAGTCATGTTAATCTAGTGTTGGGATAACTTCGAGTAAAACATTCTTTCAAAAAATTTTAATCTTGCAAATTGTTAATGATTTCTACATTATGCTAATACAAACAGTTATCTAATTCAAACAAGTTGAAAATAAATCTAAATTTCATTAAAACGTAAACCAATGCAATAAATCTTTTTCTTAAAATGAAAATAAATTTCGTGTTTTCAGATGTAGTATTCACATGCTATAAAACGTTGTAAATTTAAATACTAAATATAAAACCATTTCCATAATAAGAATATATAGTTTATAAATTTTATTCATTTTAAAGTTATAAAAGGATTTACTTAATAAATATACAGATATATGTATGTATATATATAAGTAGATAAATTATATTTGTATAAATAAGGAGGGATTTTGGTAGAAAATATTCATAACTCCAGTGTGCTCGAGTTTGCATGTTTTAGGCTCAAAAGAAAAGGGAACTATTTTTTGTTCTAATGCGAAACTCAATGTGAAAGCGATTTAGTAATAGATAGAGGCGATTTAATGTCACTTATACATCACCACAGGTTTCAAATTTGAGTCCGGTGGTCTGGCAGCCTGTTTCGCATGTGTTTCACAATAGAGTTGATCGTTAATGTAGAAATATCCAACGTTTCTTAACCCGATTCCACATTTACAGCATTTCAAGCAGGATGGGTGCATTGGGATTCGACTTTGAACTCTGACAAATTGTCCTCCTATTATTAACTCATGGCAGGCACCGCATCTCATACTACCACCAAAGAATTGTGGAGCAGGCTTCAGGTTTGAGAGGTCAGCTCCAGCTGAAGCTACAGTAGATTTGAAAGATGAATCCACATTGCTTTTTGAATATAATCCCATTGGAGAATTGTATGAAGAGTGAGTAAGACGCTGGGTTCTTCCTCCTGCACCTTCAGCGACAAAAACGTCACCTCCTCTAGGAACTGGACTTGAATGATCTGCAGCACCATTAATGTTTGATGTCACTGACTGATTATTTACTCCACTCACTTGTGTTTGATGAATAGGCTCAACGGTGGGTTGGACAGCACTTTCTGAAGTACTTCTTTCGACTATCATCTCAAAATCATTACTCGATCGAACGATCTCCATTTTAGCATCTTCATGCTTCATAAGTTTAGTATCTGTTGAGTTGATTCTAATGATAATATCACCAATTCGAAGGCCACAGGACTCAGCTATACCCCCAGGAGTTACCTTCTGAATATTCAGGGGACGACCAAGATCCAGACCACCTTCAAGACGAAATCCCCAGGGAACAGAGGTATCTGGGCGCTTTAGTCGGATGCACAGTAGAGCGGACATTAGGAGTGATCTGAGCGTTATAGAACGCGGTGCAGTGAAACGCACAAGGCTAATGCATTTATACGCCGTCTCCCCAGCAGGTGTGCCTGTGACCTTGAAAGTTGATTGGCTTAGCGGACGTGATAAGTATTTTGACTGCAATCAATGGTGAATGTATAGAAGTTGTGTCTCGTTGCGCATTGAAAGGATTTCAGCCGGTCAACTCAAATATATCAAGATACTATTTTTTGTTTGAATAGCCAGTTGAAGAAAGTTAATAATTAAATTCGGTTTTCCATTATTGAATTGTTGGACAAATTGAGGAAAAAATTATTTATTTAATTATATCAAATGACAGGCTTTATGATGGTTGCCATTTGACCTTTAATCGACTTCGGCCTTCACAGAGCGAAGAAACAGACAAAGTCACAAAAGTGGAGGGGGGGGGGGGAACAGGAGAGTGATTTACGGACGTAAGAGAGACAGGCATAAAGTTTGAGAAAAAGTGGTGGAATATGATATACAGAAGTTGATTACCGGTTTATAGACTTTTTTGCTTTATAAGTATACGTTGCCTAGGTCTTACCACGTGAATGCAAGTCTATCGCTCACCCCAATTGTGAAATAGCCCGTTAAATATCTTCGTGAATGCTGAATCATCTGCGTTTTAGCGCAACCTCTATTAAAATCGAAATCCTAAACGGCCTTTTAAATGCTAAGATATTGCAAATAAGCACAGTTCTAAGATAAGTTTAATGAACATTGAATGACACGAATAAATGAGATGGCATTAACAAGTAAATATTATTAATTTATTTATTTAAGCCCGTCAAAACGAGCGCCCCTTAGTGAGCATAGCCAATTACAACACCCTTGAAGAGCTAGAAGTTTACAGTGAATTTGGCATAAAGCAGACCAGAAATCTCTAAACTCTGTAAATTTAACCTAGACCATAAGGTTTCGGGTATGAAAGCTGAGTTTGAAAATGCTACACTATTGCCAAATCGAATTAATTTCTCGTGAAGAAGTGGAAACTTGTTGCTTTCAGAAGGTGGGACTTTTGTTATCCTAAGTTCAGTCTACTCTCAATTTTACCAACCATTGGAAAGAAATTTCTTATTCCTTTTATTATTAATATTACGAATCAAGGTGCCATTCGATGTTCGAAAATAATGAGCGTGCCAAATATTGCTGTGATTAGCATTTAAATATGATTAATTGAGTATCAAGCGGAACTTTCATAAATGAATTAGAAGCTGAAAACTATTGGCCCATTAAAGAATGATTTGGGTACCCACACTTTGTTGGACGAGGTGTGTGTTGATGGCTGTTGGTGTGTGTGTGTGTGGGCGGGGGGGTTAATAATTATTTGTTAAAGAGGCAACAATAAATTAGAGGAAATGACAGGAAAAGCAGTTGAAAAGCAACATAATTGATTGCGAAAATGGGAGGTGCTTGATTAACTGAATGCGCTAAAGGTTACTTTTCATGCAGAATAATGCAAATTTACTAATATGTTGACTGAAATATTGTCCCATAGTGATATCGGACTTTTCAACTCTTGAGATCATTTTAAAGTCGCACATAAATCAATCACGTTAGCGTTTCATTGGAATAAACAGATTTCTTGCCTAAATTATTTTTTTGAATTGGAAAAAGAATGAAAAATTCAAGGAAGTTTCACATTTATCACGCTCCACAATGACAGACGTGAAGCTTCTAAAGCACTTTCAGTTACGAAAGTTACCTTTATCAATCAATCGATAAATCAATAGGTTTTCTTTAAAATATGAAATTTGATATTAAGAAAAATTTTAAATTTTTGCTAGCTAATCTTTTACTTGCGGTAGTTCTAACAGGCAACCTTAGCAGAACTGGAAAGTTTATTTGAATGTTTGCTCAGTTTATGAACTTTGACCATGTGTTTTTATTTACTTTCAGCTAAAATAAAAAATTTCAACATCGTTATCTAGGCCTAATAAGCCCGAGCAAACACTATTTGGGTGCGATTTTAGAAATCAATACAGTTAAAATTTTATCCAATCGATATTCTTGGGATAGCGGACTTTGTGCGCATTTACCAATGAGTGCGGTTCTTTTCATGCATGTAGGCCGAAAATATTCGTATTTCATACTATGCATTCAATCGATAGTTCTTAGCTTACTATTTGGAAATAAGACTCCCACTGCCCATGTATCTAAACTAATTCATGCTCATGATGTCGCGATAAAAGTTTGATTGAAATCGATAATAATTCTATCAATTCTAAAATTGGTCGATAATTATTCCCTACATGATATTAATACTCCTGGTCTCACTTGAGTCCAATTATTGTCATCTAAAGTAACCATTATTATTGAATCAGAACGGTAATATAGTGCTTTTCAGTAAAAATTCATTTGAGCACAAAGTATATTGTCCGATCATTCTCTCTGTCTTGTAAAGCAATTTATTAGGAGTATCTGGTAGTTTAAGAATTCTTAATGGCTACTTAAAACTTCAATTCGTAAGTTAGAAATTATCGTCCAAAATTATGGCGTAGATTATTTTAGAGAAATCTGAATCGCAAAATAACTTTTAAAGCAAATTACGCGAGTAGAAGTAGATACGATGAATATAGTGAATTCACAGTTTAAATGAGACTAGTTGATAAGTGGTTTTGAGTAGATCGAGAAAATTCTAACTTTTCTTATGAACTTATCCCAAAAGAGAAGGTTATTGAGTTCATTCAACTTAATTTTTTAAACGCGTGATCAATTTGATTGAAGGATGAAACAATATTTTATTAATGATCGTGAATAAACTATAGATGATTTCTTTCAAAGATTCGGAGTTGACATTCTCTGAGTTAGACTACAAGGAACTCGTTACAGCATTGTTCACTAAGATGAATAGAACGCAGATTCTCAAAAATAGCATCATAAATTTATATTTGGTCCATTAACGCTAATATTCGCTTCTTATCATTCAAAATTATTACGGTAATTACTAAAAGTGAAATAGATTTTGGCATTGCCGTTACATTAATGTAAGCGTAGACGCTTAGATATAAATTCAAGAACATTTATTTGCAGTTCCCATTCAACTTGAAAACGAAGAAGTTAAATAAACAGTTAATATATCATAACAAATTATCCTAAATTTATTATATTTTTGTGAAAAAAACTGGTTCTGCACCGTTTAAATAAATGCCCTATTAACAAAAGTACAGCCAATAGATTTCGCTTTTAACTATACCGACTACGAAAGTTTTTCGCAAAGTAAATGACCTAGACTAATTTTCTATTTAAAATCAACTTAACGGGTAAGCCAGTTTTACCTAACAATGCTACTCAAACGTTTTAAGTAAGGCTTAATTTTTGCCATCTGAATCAAGGGCACTACTGCTTTTGGTGCTCCCAATAAGGATAGAATATTTAATGAATAAATTCGTTTCTACATTTAAGCGGAATGGACTTTATCGCAAAGAAGTAGATAGCTGGCCACACAAGATATATTTTATAAACGCAACTGAATTGCCTCATCCCTAAAAAAAATTTATTAATATTAAATGGCAGGCTTTATCTAATAATTATTAGTCCTTTAGTTAACTTCGGGCTTCGCAAAGGGAAGGAACATCATAGTCAAAAGCGGTCGAGGAGGGGGGGGGCAGGGGAGTGATTCGTAGGTGTAAAAGAGACAGGCACAAACGGAGAGAAAAAAGGAAAACTGAATTCCGTGGAAGTGGTGGAATATTACATACAGTGGGGTCATGGTAGTTTGAGGCCAGAGGTCAACTACAGGTGTATAGAATTTTTCGCCCTATGAGTATATGTTTTCCACGTGTTCCACGTGAAGGTAAGTCTATCGTGCACTCTTCCTTACCGAAATGGGATAATGGAAACTCAATGGGGCGTGATCTATTGAAAATAAACGTTATACATTCTAATTGTTGTAGACTGTCCTAACATCAAAATGAAGAACAAAACTTAAAATCAAATTATATTGGATCATTCATTAAGAAGGAGAACAAAATAAAATATTGGAATTAATTTGCATTCATTCAAAAATGGCGTTAATTAAGTCTCGCCTTAATAGATATCTAAAAATATTATTCACATTATCAGTATGTTTTTACAATAAGGTCTAGTTTCTTATCTATTTTAAGAGATGGTTATAAATGCATTCGATATCTTGGCATTTTAGCTTAAATAAAATTTGACACCCTAAAATAAACATTCCGTCTGCACTTATTTTATTTGTTTATCAACACCCTGCCCGAACATTTTATGGCTTTTAAAATAGCCAAACAGTTTTAGTTGGGAAAATTTTTTTGCAGACATCGTGTTTACATTACTGTTCCTACCGAAACGTGGTAAAATACATGAGGGTTTTGAGATACGTAAATAGTTAATTACTGAATGAGATTTTTTCTCAGCGTGAAGTCGCTTACCACAACCTCGGTGTTTTTAGCAATGTGTTTGTTTAATTTTTTCAGTTTCTTCTTGTATTGCAGGTGTGAAAAACTGTACTTTTAGTTCTCACTTAAAATGGGTTGACTGGGAATGGTCTTTCATTTGCATTGACAGTATTTTATGATAATGAGAATATTAGCGAAAAAATCTACTTTGTAAATTAATATCCGCAATTCATTACAGTTGTCCACATCACAGAAGTATCAGTTTTAAATGTACTTGTCAAGAAGGCTTTAAGATAAAGGCGCCACCTTTTCGCTCTTTGATTAAACAGAACTCACTGCTCTTTACAGTAAAGAAGATCTTTTAGTACAAACATAATTTTGATACTTATACTTTCTCCGTAATACGCAAACTTAAAACAAATTTTAGTTAAATTTGATATTAGCATTTGTAGAATTGGACTCCATTTCGATAATATTTAATTTATTTATTTCGAATGGCAGGCGTTTTGATAGTTACTATTAGCCATTAAGCTGACTTCGGACTTCACAGAGAGGAAGAAAATCGGAGTGAAAAAAATGTTGAGAGGAGGAAAGAAAAATTATTCCCTAATGAAAGGAGAC